TCAGTTGAACCTGGTGTAGATAAACCTGGTTCAGGTAAACCTGGTTCAGGTAAACCTGGTTCAGTTAAACCTGGTTCAGATAAACCTGGTTCAGTTGAACCTGGTGTAGATAAACCTGGTTCAGGTAAACCTGGTTCAGTTAATCCTGGTTCAGATAAACCTGGTTTAAATAAACCTGGTTCAGATAAACCTGGTTCAGGTAAACCTGGTTCAGTTAAACCTGGTTCAGATAAACCTGGTTCAGTTGAACCTGGTTTAGATAAACCTGGTTCAGTTGAACCTGGTTCAGTTAAACCTGGTTCAGTTAAACCTGGTTCAGTTGAACCTGGTTTAGATAAACCTGGTTCAGTTAAACCTGGTTCAGTTAAACCTGGTTCAGTTGAACCTGGTTTAAATAAACCTGGTTTAGATAAACCTGATTCAGGTGAACCTGGTTCAGGTGAACCTGGTTCAGGTGAACCTGCTTCAGTTAAACCTGGTTCAGTTAAACCTGGTTTAGATAAACCTGGTTCAGGTAAACCTGGTTTGGATAAATCTGGTTCAGTTAAACCTGGTTTGGATAAACCTGGTTTAGATAAACCTGGTTCAGGTGAACCTGGTTCAGTTAAACCTGGTTCAGTTAAACCTGGTTCGGATAAACCTGGTTTGGATAAACCTGGTTCAGTTAAACCTGGTTCAGGTAAACCTGGTTCAGGTAAACCTGGTTCAGTTAAACCTGGTTCAGGTGAACCTGGTTCAGGTGAACCTGGTTCAGTTAAACCTGGTTCAGGTAAACCTGGTTCAGTTAAACCTGGTTTGGATAAACCTGGTTCAGTTAAACCTGGATCAGGTAAACCTGGTTCAGGTAAACCTGGTTCAGGTAATCCTGGTTCAGGTGAACCTGGTTCAGGTGAACCTGGTTTAGATAAACCTGGTTCAGGTAATCCTGGTTCAGGTAAACCTGGTTCAGGTGAACCTGGTTTAGATAAACCTGGTTCAGGTAAACCTGGTTCAGTTAAACCTGGTTCAGGTAAACCTGGTTCAGGTGAACCTGGTTTAGATAAACCTGGTTCAGTTAAACCTGGTTCAGGTAAACCTGGTTCAGGTAATCCTGGTTCAGGTAAACCTGGTTCAGGTGAACCTGGTTCAGGTAATCCTGGTTCAGGTGAACCTGGTTCAGGTGAACCTGGTTTAGATAAACCTGGTTCAGGTGAACCTGGTTCAGTTAAACCTGGTTCAGGTGAACCTGGTTTAGATAAACCTGGTTCAGGTAATCCTGGTTCAGTTAAACCTGGTTCAGGTGAACCTGGTTTAGATAAACCTGGTTCAGGTTGTCAGATTGTCTCAGACAGAGTAGAAAAATAGAATCTACAAAGAGGGAATGAAAAGGTTCAGTTCTCTGATAGCTTATAAAACCATATCTACAAGATGTGTTAGCAAAATATCACACAGACCAGAGGACCAACAGGAGCTCCTGACTCTGCTCAGGCACCTGCACACCAGGAGGAGCAGGAGGAGGAGGAGGAGCAGGATGAAGAGGAGGAGGANTGTGTGTCCCACAGTGAGACATCTGTCCCACAGTGAGACATCTGTCCCACAGTGAGACATCTGTCCCACAGTGAGACATCTGAGCTGGAAGCCTGCAGCGTTGTCCAGATTTGGCTTCAGAACTGTCCATCATTGTCCATCTGAGGGGTCCCCTCTTGTCCCCTCCATCCTGTCCCCTCCCGTCCTTCGTCCGGTCTTCCTCCAGCTTTAAGGCATTTCATATTTGATGATGTGAATAAAAACTTTAGTTAAAAATGTACAAATTTCTTATACAAACAGCTGTGAGGTCATGGATGATGTCATGGATGTATGACATCATCCATGACATCATCAGTCAACACTGGATAGAAAATATATAAATATGTTTCTCTTCTTAATGTACAAAAGTTCAACAGCTCGCCGCCCTCTGCTTCCCTTTTATGGTTTGGCCACGCCCCCATCAGTCACTTCCTGTTTATTTACAGAGAGGGGGCGGGGCTCAGGAGGAGTCCGTGCAGGGCGAGGGGGGTGGTGGGTACAGGTGGTGGGAGTAGCTGCGCTCGGTGTAGGGTGACGGCGGGCAGCTCTCACAGTTCTCCTCAGCAGACAGGTACTGGCTGCGCGGCGTGGGCGGCGGCGGGAACGGCTCCGAGTCGTAGTTCAGGTCGCTGGCGTAGCCTTTGGAGGCCGCCGCAGGTCTGAGCGGCGCCCGGCGGCCCGGCGTGTAGTCGCTGTCGCACACGTCGGTGCTGCAGGGCGTGGTGGGCGGGGCAAAGTGACGGTAGGTGTACGGCCGGTAGCTGGAAGAGAGGAGAAACCTGGGATCAGAACTACATCATCAGAACCTGCAGAACCAGAACCAGAACCAGAACCAGCACCTGTAGGAGCGGTGGGTGGACGGACTGTTGGAGGAGTAGCCGAACTCCAGCGTGTACTGGGACCGGACCGTGGCCGGAGACGGAGGCGGGTTCAGGATCTGGAACACACAGACCTGGATCAGCATCATCAGGGGCAGTTTTATGCATTGAGCTAATGCTAATGCTAATGCTAATGCTAACGCTAACCATTGAAATGAATGAGCAGAACGTAGCGCAGTGCAAACAAACACTTCATAAACAGTGAAATGGTTCAAATACTTTGTTATAAACTGCACAGATTGTTACATGTTTACAACAGATACAAAAGTTGTGTTTCACAGGTAAATATTACACATATTTGAACAAAATTAATCATCTTAACAGTAAAACCTGAAAGTTAACATTAAACAGCTTCAATGTTCATGTTTAACCGTATTTAAAATCGATTTCATCTGTTGTCAAATATATTATTTAC